GATCCGCAACAAGTAACAAGTAAGTAACATAAATGTACATGAATAGTGTCAAATAAGCTAAAACTGGTTAAACTTTATGAACCATTTTTAAATACCGGTAGTCTAAAGAATATAATGACAGATCTTATAATGCTTTCCTAAAGTCTTTTTTTTTATATTGGACTTTTGTTCCATTTCATTTTTTAAAAGAATGCATTTAAAAAGTCATGTACTGCATGTCAGTTTATTTGGAGGGTTCTTGAGTTAGATGTTTCTGTATCACCCTATGTATTTGCCAGCTTGTGTACTTTCTAGATAAGAAGGGGGTCTTCTTAAGGTATCTACTGTCTAAATATCAACAAATATGTTCACACATCACTGGTATCAAGGTCTGGTCAGCAAACAAAGTGACAGCGGACACACGGTGGAGTAAGGATGAAAGTCCACCCGCCATGACTTGGTGCAACTTCAATTGATATTTTAGCTTTTAATAAATTGGCCAGGCTAAAGAAACAGCTGATTTAAGTCAGTGACAAATCTAAACGGGCATCTCACATCTTTCTCTACTCATGTTTTGCTCATATTTGGGTTAAAATATATCCAGTACTGTAGTGTCCCTATCTGGTAGTTTCTAGTAGTCTAGTAGTAGTTTTACCTCTCTATGTATGGTAGGTCTGTGCTGCTGATGTACCTCAGTCCATGCAGAGAAGCTTGTTGGCAATATTCACCAATCACTTGCCACATAGTAGGAGGCAGACATAGCAACTTCATGGCAAGTTTTGTCTTCTTGGCTCCATGATTCAAAGACTTTTCAGTCTTGACTGGGTCCATAGGCTTAAAATATCAGTTTTAACATTGTAATTTATTTTTCTGTCACTTAAAGTTAAAACGTTTGGTCTAAACTAGTACTCACGCTGAAATATTTTCTCGCTTGTCTTTGAAAATTAAATGCATATGAATGATACAAATCCTCAAAAAGTGTAAACTATTTGGTATAACAAAGAATTTCACAAAAATTATTTGTAAGTATGAAATAGATGTTAACTTGAACTCTAAAGTATGGCAAAGATGTTAAAATGGAGATATAAAATAGTTTAGCGATCAATCGAAGCAAAATGTGTTTGACTGCTCCAATTTGTTGGCAAAAATATGCCATCCTTTATGTCAGTTGTACAATATGAACTCAATAATAATTTCAATAAATGCTTTTTACATGACATTGTACAATTTAATTTCTCCAAGGATATTAAGTCCTAAAAAAAGTGAAAAATACTAAAATCTGTACACATTTGTAAATGATAAAGGGTCCCTACTGTACACAAAAGGCAACTTGGTTATCAGAAGTGCAGTTAATGAAAACAAATCCACATTCCAAGATTAAGATTTATAAAGTAATTTGAGTGTAAGAAACTGAGTTAGGTGTGATTAATATATGTTTTTATGTGTGATTAAACTATTATTTGATTAATATTTAAACATAATATTTATTTATATACTCTATCATAAAACATTTACCTTGTTAAAATGTATCCTTCGAGGCATATTTCTCATATCTTCACTATTTACTTGACTCTAAATAATTTCTGTCAACCGCAAAGCACATGTGTCACCTTTGAAGGGCGTGTAAATCAATACTTATTAAAAATGGCATGCATCACAAAAATCTCCTTCGTTAATTAAAAAAAAAACCACGTAGATCAGATATCATACATAGATAGGCACACCACAAATGACTGACAATATGACCTAAATAGAAGCGCAAAATACTACCATTACCATAGCCAGTGAGTACAGTTGCAATGATTGCTTTGACAATTCAACAGCTTAACAGTTCATTGGTCATTCCTGCTTCCTATTTAGGTTTATTGGTATTCGTTCAAGTGGAATATCTATGTGATCGTCATGATGAAAGGTAAATTGTATAGTTTAGTTCCACGTGACAAAATTCTAAAATTGTGTTTCATAATAGTTGTGTTGTGACAAATAACATCATGTATCAATGAATGCAATGAACGTATCAATGAGTATTGGTTTAAGACTTAAAAGCAATACAGTATTTTTTTTTATAACTATAACTGTTGTGCACGCACTGCATAATGCACCAAACCTTTGTTGCGCATTGTCTCATTTCTTTACTGTCAATATATAAACTTACTCAGTGCACAGTAATCAATATGTAGCTGTCAAGTTCATCATATGTATTTCCTGTCAATTGCATGTTTCGTACTGTGCTAAATGGAGCTGTAGTGTGCAATTGAACCTTTATAAATGAGACATTGCTTGCATGACTCAATTAATAATAATTGTACTGTAGATATAAGCTATCTACTGTAGTTCATTGCTTGCTGATTCGCAGGGCCAGAGCATGGTGTTTTTCCTGAACATCCTAGTCGTAATTGGCAAAACAAAGCAAATACAAATTTGCTACACCTGCAAGTTTGCTGCGGCAGATTATAAGTTTCAATCTGAAAGACAACATTACAAATACTATACTATAGTGCGTTCAAACAGCCGTGGCACCTGAGGGATTAGGAGGCCCCAAGGGTTTCCATGGGGTCTCCTAATCTGTCAGGTGCCACGGCTGTTTGAACGGAGTATAGTGAACTACAAACTACAACTGTATGAGGTGGATCCTTAGGGAATGTGACTTATTGATCAGACCTTGGTTGGATGACCAGTCTTTAAAGTTTAGTCAGGCTTGACTTACCGGAAGTTGCAGCCAAAAATATAAAACAATATTAATCGTACACTACTTGACCGTTCTGTGTTCGATAAGGCCGGACGCACACAGATCAAGCATTTCACCTGAAGCAAGTGTTGCGAGGCAAAATGTTTTGCTGGGTACGAGCACCCCATGTATTTCAATGGGACGCCGCACACTGATCAATCAAACGTTGCAAGGCGCCTCGCAACGCCTTGAAACATTTGAGCAGTTGCTCGACGAATGGATCCCATACAGCACGATGTTTGATGTTTCAAGGAGCAAAACGTTCTGCGCATGCGCCAAATCCCTTCTAGCTAAGCTAGTAAAGCTTCAAAATTCAATCGACCTTTTGTTGTTTACAAAATTACTCTTTGAAAAATGCATTTTAAAGTTTCATTACAACCTAAAAATTATATTTTTTGAATTTCCCACATTGTTGTTTAATTTTTCTTGCTACCACTTTGATAACCATACAGGTAGTAGATAATTAAGAAACAACCCATGTTATTTAGTTCATTATTTATAACCATCACGACATTATCAAATAATAATTTCTAACGATATCACTAAAGTTATTAAAAGCCCTTCCAATAAAATAGTGTAGCAAGTATTCGACAATAATAATTGTAAAATTTCCCTGGTCTGATTTAATTTTTGAGAGCATTAATGTCTATCATCTGATTGTTTGAGTGAAACCCATGTTTTCTTTCTTAGTCTAGCATTTGCAAAAACTGACATACAGCAATAGCTACGTTGACCTCCTCGTCATACATGTTAAAACAATACCGTAGAGTACCAGTACAAATAATATTTATTTTTGCTTGAAACCAAATGCTGCATCATGCTTGAACCTCTCGCACACTGGAGAAGCAAAGAAACAAACCGCTTAAAGCAAATCGTTGTGCAACATTTTGCTTCAGGTGAAATGCTGGATCAGTGTGCGTCCAGCCTAAGAGTTATATGACTATCAAACAGAAGCCACTCAATTAATCTTCAATCTTCATATTAATGTTGCCGTCCATTAAATGTTGCAAACTGCCCTTTGTAGTCCTGACAGGTAACACCAGTTTCGCGTTCTCTTTCGTTTAACCTGTCTACGATCATTGATTTTTAGAAAATGCGGTAGACATTCCATCTAATTGAACCATCTGTAGCTTTTATTAAAAAACAAAAAACATACAGTAGTTGAATGAGCCACTCAAAGAGTGCGCTGCCGTATAAAAATGTATTTTCTCTCTTAGGTTTTGTTACTGAGATAGTTGTTGTAGTATAAAATATGCTATGCCTTATACAACACTATTCTTTCTGTTTGACTTGGTTAAAAAGTGTAATTGTCATAATGGCGAAGGCGATGGCGATTAGTAATTGTCAGTAATGCCACTCTGTCAACTCAACTACGTCCATTTTGATTCTAAAACCGGTGATAGCTTTAACATGGGGATGGAATGTCTAGTTCTAAATGTTAAAACTAAGATACAAATGCACTGAAATGGCTAAGTCAACGTCCATCTTGACCCTGAAGCCTTCAGAATGGCTTTGAAATGTCAGAATGACATTCATTGTCGGCGACAGTTCCAATCGCGGAGCCACGCCATACTGGCAAAGGATGCATACAACTACGGTCACAGTCAAGGTACAACCTTATTAAGATTGGTCTACTGTGAGCTCCACGTTTATCGGCGATCAACTAAACTATGTCAGCCTGTTGTGCCGGTCCCATGCTTTTTTGTAGGTCCATCCGTTTTCGGTTTTTGCCATAGTGTGCATGGCGGACGGCTCCGACTAGAGTCACCCTTATTCACCCTTTAGTTAGTGTGAACCTAGCTCTTTCCTTATTTTAGGGCCGCCTTGTTGCAGCTTCTCAGCTTTTCGTGAAAGTGTTAAGGAGCGAGATTTCAAAAGCTACTCTAAGTCAATTCAAAGTAAAACTCAAGAAAACCCCTAATTTTAGAGTCAAGAATCTGAGGACAAGTTGGGAAGTTGGTGAGGACATAAAGTTACCAACTGAAAATTGCAGAAAATTACTTCCTTCATTATTATGAAAAATGTCTGTTTGCACAGATAATTATCGATTTTATATATTTTTTTAATACATACAAACCTTTGCATCTCATGGTTAAACTTGAAATTGTTAATTTTAAATTTTAGATTTACTAGTTTTTATTATTTGACTACATTGCCAAGAATAGCAATAGAGTTGTACCAATAAAGGTTGTACCAAATATGGTAAATTGTATAAGCACCTTACTGATTCAAAAGATAAAACTTAACTGAGAAAATAAGAAACTTTTGATGAGGATAACAAAGAAACAATTAGTAACTATGTGCACTTTGTGCTTACTTTAATATTAAATTAAAATATTATGTACAGTTTTTTATCATACAAATAACTAAATTATGCACACTATACAACAAAATTTAAACAGTTATAGCTATGTATGTGTAAATGGAATGAAAGTCAATGAATAATATAGAATTTGTATAAAGATAACTGGTTTAGTTTGGTTGAGTTTGGGGCAATCATTTAACAGTTTGTCAATTCAAATCAAAATCTTCATATAAAATATATGATGCTCAATAATTGCTATCAAAGCAACAATTTTTTAATAAAATAATCTAGTTGTCAAAACGTTACAAGAGATAAATTCTAAATTAATATTTTTTTTATTCATAAAAATCTTTTTGAAAACAAATATTCACATTGTTTATTAAATTCTGTAATCTCAACCAAACCAATAAAAAGGAATACAATACAGGCTAACTCAGGTACTTAAATAAATACGATAAACCTAATCATCACTACACTGCTGACAAAGACATATATAACCACCAAGATTAGAAGAAAGGAAACCATTCGACCAGCAAAGAAACAACGTTAAGTCTTTGGTTAACAGCAACTAATCGATAAAACAAGTGCTATAAGGTTTACAATGGTCTAAATGCTAAAACAGTGTAATAACACATAACAATAACAAGGATAGCTATGGTAAGAAACTATAACAAGAATAATATAAAACCATAGAGAAATAAAAGATCTCCAAATAATCAGTGAGGATAAATGTTACTGGAGAAGAAATACAGACGAGAAATAGTTCCCTGAATCACCCTCACTCTGAAAAAGTGAAGTACAAACCCTACAAATCAAACTCTGGTCCTCAAACCAGCTAAACACTCTGATAGAAACTACATCATCAAACATCAAAAGTAAATCATCTTCTACCCTCAACTCAAATACATTACAATCACATAATATTACTCAGTAAGTTATAATTGAAATTAGTACAAATAAGTTCTTGGTTAACAATTATTAATTGTGAGAAACTCGGTAAAAAACCGGTATTCATCAGGACAGAATAAAATTTTACATTAAATAAAATGTTTAATTACCTCATAACTTACAAATACTAGTTTTTTCTTATTAAAAGATGAAAAACATTTAAATTTCACTATCATTAAGAAGATTTATAAACACACTTGCCCAAATATTATAATAGCTCGAAGCTCGACATCAATCCCTTATTGCAATCAGTCATAAGATCCTTTGTGTGACCTCATACCTTAATCGAGGGAACTATTAAAGAATACAATATCTTGTAAAACACAAAGTATCAAAATTAGTTAGAAAAATAAATGATTACGCTTACAAAGTATAATGAAAGCCAAGGTGAACGGCCTATAGGCCCTAGTATTGCGCAGCAGTTCACAAAGTACAAATATTACATATATTGACACATTGATATGAGATTGGTGTTTTAGTTGTCTTCGGGATGTAGCGCGGCTCAGGCGTAACTGTCCAAAACCTCCTCAGTGCTTGATGGGCAGAAATGGTAAAAATACAGGAACTTGCTTGCTTGACTATTTTGATTATACTGTATACCCTAAAGATATGGATATTATGGTTGTAAAACTTGTCTTAAAATAACATTAGGCTATTCAGGCCTTAGAAACTTTAGGCTTTATAAAAGTTGTAGGCAATTTTTATTAAAAATTTTATAGGTTTAACTAGTTTGTTGTAATTGTATTGAACAGATGCTGATACGTGTGAGTAGATAAAAGTATAAGTCAATCTATGATGACTCAATAACTAACTTTCTGCACACTTCATTTAGCCTGTTTTAGCATACATTAATTACTCTTTGGGTGAATATTTAGGACATTTTATGCATATTAACACTTTTTTTATCTATCTTCAAGTAATTCATTCATTTTTTTATTCGACCCGCAAAATTGAGATAAAAATATTTTAAAACTTGGATAAAATCTGTGACTTCACTATGAAGAATTCTCTGTAAAATCTAGTTTTATGTTGCAATAGAGGATTTCCTTAAAACTCTTTGAGTTTATCAGCAACTAATCGGATTACCTGATAATACAGGTTTTCAAAACCTTTTATAATTTATTCTTGTTTTCACTAAATAAATAGTTTATTCAATAAACTATATCACTTCCCAATATTGCTTTTAATTAATAGTATATAATAAAATAGACAGTTTTTTTAGACCCTATCCAGCATTTTCAATTTAGAATGTCTTAAAATCAGTGACTTTGATGACCAGTAGTCATTCTGTGTAAACACTAACAATCAAAAATTACAATTCAACCTCAAGGATTTGTTAGTTTTAGTTTTACATTTTGTAATTTATAACTTTTAAAAGTTCTCGTTCTTAAAAAGCGAGAATAAAATTACTCACGTTTTGATAAAATTTCATTTCCAAGCCTTGATGCCATATAATCTGTTCTTAAAAGTTATTCTTATACGTTAAAGGTATGTAGAAATATGTGTACTGGTGAGGGCGATGGCACTGATGAGTGGAAGGGTGAGGGGGGAGGGGTACAGATCAAGGCAGCAGTTCTACGTAGTTCTCTGGGACCAAGCCTGTCTTGCCGTTGAGAGTTCCCTCCAGCCAACCCGGCTCTAGCGAGGTCCGCACTGAAAATGAAAGACAGTGTAGTCCTCCAAAGTGTTACGAAAATCACGTAAAATATTAGGCCAGCTGTTCGTTTTATAATTATAATCTATTAATTTGGAAGCTAAGCAGTAAAAATGAGACTAGAAAAAGATCGGGCGCTGTTGTGTAACAAGGGACACAAAAATTGGCCCTTGTGCCACTTGAGGTGCATTATAACCCCACAACACTGATGATTTAGATTTGCAATGGAATATTCTAGGGGTGTCTGAAATAACCTTGTACCATACCATAGCTTTGGTTTCACATCATTGTCATATTATTAAGACAGACACACAATTTTGCATGTTTCAACCTGAATAGAAATGGTGGATGAATGTAGAATTGAGTGAGATACTAACTAAAATCTATTTTCTTAAGCCAGAACCTTTTGAAAATCAAATGATCAAGAACAGCTGGGTCCGGTTTTGATAGGTACAACTGCTGACATTTCTCAGATCAAACTGGTGACCGAGCTGTTCCTAGGTAAGGACTGTCCACTCAGCTACCCTAACCTGAATCAGCTTCTGCTAAAACTCTCAATATTGGGCCCACAACCTTGACTTAAATACATCTACCCCTTATGTTTCCCTATGACAACTGGTTTTGTTATGGCCCGTACCTCACTCTGACAAGATGGTTATGATTAGATTAGATACTAGAAGCTCTCATTTATTTTTTGATCTCCAACCACTCAAAAATAACATAAACGTATATTAAAACTTAAGAACAATGCACTGTAAACCTTCTTCTATCAAACAATGGGTCAGATAATAGTCAAAGGTCAGATGCAGAACTAGAAGATTTTACTTTTTACAATTTTGTCTGAGTCACATACAGAGTATGATGGCATGATTATTATTATCGGCACATTGTTTGAATGGTAAAAAGATTGACATATATGTTAAATTTACATAAAATTGTATGACAAAAATATCTAGGAGTCGATAACTAGGGTTGATGTATCCTCACCATTAGTTATGATTTGGTTAGGTTCAAAAGATAGTTCTCCGTCGTTTTCACCCATACAAGCATACAGCGTCCTCACCCTCCTGTAACATAGAATGTTGCATTAGTACACAGTGCCACCAGAGTCCAAAGGGTTTTGAGACTGTTCATGTTAAGAAAAGTCCTATAGTTGGCTTTTTTTTTTGTTATGTGACTTTTAATAGTAAAGGGAGTTTTTCAATATACAGAGAGAGCGAGAGGGGGGGGGAGTGGGTTTTCTTCTTTTCTTCACCTGAAAGACTTTTTTTTAAGATAGGTGAACCTATTCAATTCAATTTGATTCAAAACTTCTTTATTTGTTTCATGTACAGCAATACAATAAATAGCCTCACAGTTCCTTAATCTAACTCAGTACATTGTTGAATTGTTCAGTTATGAAATTGACAGTAACTGATGTGAGATAACTGTTATCTACATACATCAGCATTCACATCAGTTAAATTGTACAACTCTTCAAGAGAGTAAAATGCATTTCTGATCAAAAAACTTTTGAACTTGTTTTGATTTTCTGTGTTCAATATTTCTATTGGAATATGTTTTAAAAATACAGAACCGGCATAGGATGGTTTCTTTTTATATAGCTCAGAATTATGAAAAGGTAAGACTATGTTTTTTTTTTATTTCTGGTGTTGTAGTTATGTATATCTTCATGTGTTGTAAAATTGGCTTTATGTTTCCTGACATGCATAATACACTCAAGGATATACAAACTATAGACGGTTAATATATTTTGGTTAGTAAAATGCTCCCTTACGGATTCATCAGACTCAAGATTTAACATGGCTCTTATTGCTCTTTTTTGACTAATTAAAATTTCCTGTGTTAAAACTAAAAAAACCTACAGCTAGAAATTGGTTCTGAACCATTAACCACGGCATTGTGACAAAAATAAACCCATTGGTGACAGACAGGATTTAAATAAAAAACATTCAGTACAACAGGTCTGTGCTCTTACTAATTGACCAGCCGAGTTCTAATTTTAATCTAAAAAAAAACCATCAACATGAATCTCTTTATCTATATTGACATGAAGTCTTTGCATTGACTTTGACCTTAGCCTTAGTTGTAACAGAACAAGTAGATGTTTGCAAATCATGTTTTCTTGGTTATTTGGATACTTTGTAGCCATATTGTTTTTAGGATTATTTGTGATCACTTTTGACATTTTTTGTTGATTACATTATATTCCTAACAAAACATTACACAATTAGCTCTTTACATTATTCTGAAATATGTGAATAAGTTTTATTTTTCAAAAAAATATAATATTTATCCTCTAATACTTTGATGGTTTAACGGTTACCTTTTTACTAAATAGTAGTACAACAAGGTAACAATTTCAACAAAAGAATTTTACAGACTTTATTGTCAAAACTTTAAACATGCATTTAACAAAAATTGTTAACATAAGAATAAGCCTTTCTGTGAAAGCGATCCAAAAATGTATATTACTAAATTATTATAAACACATTTAAAATACACAAAAATTAATGAACACACACTAAAAACTAAAAATGAAAGCAAACAATACATACATGACTGATAAAGCAAATACCTAAGCTTGTGGCATGGATAAATAATAAATAAATAAGAACTATGAGTTGAACTAATCTTCTCAAAACGCTGCTATGGGTGCACTGACATTAAAAACTAAAGGAAATATAACTGCGTGTTCTTAAATACCAATAACTGACAATAAAACTAAATCCTAATGAAAAATTCATCAAACTAGAATAGGTATCTATAATCCTAAAATATAAAAATAGGCTCTATTGTCGATCGTGGAAATTGAATATTGGATTTAACAAAATATGTACAATTTGTTGGATTTAATAAAATCAGGTAGTCTACCTATAACATTAATCTATCATATTACAATACCAAGCAACAAGAAGGGCCTTCAGGGAATTTGTTATTTAATTTTTAATTTTGTAATTAAGTAAAATGTCAAAAATTTTAACTGAGGGGAATTTGGGTTCTTTTTGTTTTAATGCACCACCACTGTTATTTTTTTGCATTCCATTGATTCACAACCATTATAATTTTGTTCAGTTAGATTAGGTTTGGAATAGATTAATACTTTAATATTCTAAAAAAGGCAGTGCCCATTCTCCATTACTTGAGAACTCCATTAATTAGCTTGGATCAGAATATTAATTACTCATTCACTGCTCGAGAGAAATGTCTAGAATGGCAAAGTTCACTATCCAGTTGTCACTAAGGGGTAAGAAAACCAATAACAGTTTTGGGAATTACAGAGAACAAATAAATTATTGGTAGGTATGCATAACATGTTTTTTTGTTTATACTGTCATATAAAATCGTGTAAACAAAAAGCCAAAAAATAGTGGTGATAGATAGAGAACCAAATCTTTATCGATGTACCAAGATGTTCCTGTTTTAATGTCCGTAATGACACAATATAATTAAATAAACTAAACCATGGAGAGGGTACTTTTGTTAACTGCTGTTATTTCTTTCTCATCTTCAGTAGAAGAAATACGCAAATAATAAAACAATTTTTGATTAACTGCTTCCAGGTCAAGTTTCTCACCCTTTTGCAAACCAGAATCTTCAAGTTACTATCATATTGTGTCCGCTTTTTATATCTACCAGACATTAAATCAGGCATGATTCATTGTGAAAAGAAGTACACACAAAAAATTAAAATAAGTACAACATCCTAGGGAAGAAATTGCTTGTAACTCCCTAAGGGCAGAGGGTGGGGGGGTTATTTGACTGTACTCACGTCACATTTGAATACCCCATTGAACGGGATAGAATTGTAAAAAAACTCCTGATTTGCCTAGAACCAAAGTTGTCGATGAACAAACAAATATAAATATGAAATCTTATAAACACATCTTATAAGTCAAGCACCTGAAGCCAGCGATGAAACAAGCAGCCTACAAACTAAAAAAAAACATATCACTCGCTGAAAATAAGGGCACAATGCGAAAGAGGCCTTAGTCAAAATGCAGCTCACTCAACACTGACTAGCAATGGGGTAAAGGGAGAAGGGGGGAGCATGCTGTGGCGGGGGAGGGGGGAATACCTTGGTCCTTGAGAGAAACCTGGACTTGACCTTCCACTGCTAAGAGAGTTGGGGGTACCTGGAGGCCTACAATACCATCCACAGTTAACATGGTTAGAATCTTCCACAGCGGAAGCCAGCTTGGATTTTGGTTCCATAAGAACATGTTGTGAGTGGGACAGAATGTTAAATGACGGGGAAGTTGTTACAATAACTTCTTTCTTTGATGATTTAGAGAAAATCTTATTGCTATTTAATGTTTTGACAAAACCTACGTTTTTTTATTTTGCTTAGGGAAAGAAGGTTTAGCAAGCTTATCTAGGAAATAAGAGTTTAGGGGCTCTTAAAAGAACTAGAAAGAAGGAAAAATATCCGTGTCATGTTAGGAGACCATTGATTGTGCTTCTATATAGACATTTTAGAAGAATTAAATTTCAAACATATTCTTATGAGATGGAAATCCAATATGGCTATGTAGGGCTATGTACAACACTTAAAAAGAATTAGCGAATTACTTACCTTCTACTATGTTAAAACTTGTTATCAATTACAGCAGATGGGTGTATCAACACATTGCTTGCAGATTTCAAAAACATTATACTATGGATAAAGTATAGCATCAAAAATAATGTATTTTAAAATTGTAACAGTTTAAAATACTGTATGCATTTGACAAAATTTGGCATTAGATACAATTGTATTGGGGTTCACAAAACAAGAGGGTTAGTTAGCTTACAAAATTAAGTGAAATAGTAACCAGTAAATTTTATTTTAATATAGGTTTTTTTCTGGTAGGATAATTATTTTGTTTCCAAAACATTTCTATCCAGCGACTTTTAATACAAGTAACCAGAGCAGTCGTTTTTCCTGTCATCCATAGTTTACAAGCTTATACAGACTCTTTGCATTAGAGTAATAAATATAACTTAAGTTTTTTCTAAATAATGTTAACAATAGAATAATGAATACTCACACATTGTCCTGGGGCCGATAGCTTGTAGCATAATGTAAACTCATCTTACTGCCTCCCATTGGCAAACCTGTGAACATTTAAGATTGAATTAGAGATGAAGGATTTTTTAAATAAACTGCTTATCGTCTATACACATTAGTAGTTTTATGTTAAGAATATTTATTGTTATAATTGTATCATTCAGTGAGTGGTTTAAGGTAGTTAGTCAGAACTGCACAGATTGAATCCGTCTTATCTACTGTAGAGTAAAAAATTGATGTATTTTGCTTTCATTTATTAAAATTTATTGGAACTACATTTTTTTTAAGAAAACTAAATTTTATAAAAAAAGTGTAGATACATATAAACAAGTTGCTACAGAAAACTTACTTTGAAAATTGATAGCATGACAAAAAACACACAACAAAAAATTTAATAAAAAAATATTTTAAACTTTTTTACAAAATTGTTATTTTATTCAAATTTAATTCAAGTTTATTTCTATCAAACGAACAATCTTGGACGAGGAAAAGAAGCATCAGCAATTCAGCACTCTAAAATAAACTAAAATAAAATAACAATAAAATCATAGTTGATAAGCAGATATTATCAGATAATAATAATCTTACAGAATCAGTATCAACTATCAACACAAAAATACGATTTCTTACAATATATTGATAATTCAGTCTATAAAAATAATCAAAATAAACACAGCATGTTTTTGGTAAATTAATTTCCTAACCCACCACAAAAAAACCCAAAAGCCAAACAACAAAATACTAACAGCACTTGAGGAAAAAACAACTGCATTGAAAGGACGACTTTATGTATGCAGATATTCTGGACAGTAGAGAGTTATTAGCCATGATAGAACAGCAAGGTGAAGGAGAAGAAACAGACTGAGATGTTTGTATACATTGTGATTGTGCGTCATCGTGATAAGAATCATCACAGAACACCTGGCAATTGTGAGACACTGGCACCTGGCAACGGTGAATAGATAATGGGTTGGAATAGGGAAACCATGAAGAGAATAGTCTGCACTTGACTTTTCACAATGATATTAGCGTCACAAAACTTAATGAATGTCGGTAATTAAAATGTAAATATTTAGTCTTTAAAATGTCATTAGGATTGTCAATGAATGATTTTTCTTCTGTTCCAAAATGCATATCATAAGTGGCACCAATTTAGATTGTGTCACCAATTGTTTAAATAAGCAAGGTTAAAGCAATTGAGGAAATGTTTTACCATTATCGTTTGTATTTCTCTTTAAATATCTCTCATTCTATAATGAGAACGGTAATGATTTTCAATGCATGAACAATACAAAATTTTTCTTCATAATGAATTAAAACATGATAGATTCTAAATTGATCCTACAGATAATTGTTCTGTTTTCTGTTATTTAAGTACCTATGTTTGGCCTCATGACTAATTGTAAACTGGTTCAAGATACTGAACTTGAGCTTAGAGAAAAACATACACCATTTAAAAACTGTTTGTGGTAAGAAGGTAAATTTTTAAAAGGTAAACAGTGATAATTTTTTATAGATAAGCAGTCAAGTGTCTTTGAGTAAAAGAGTGATGATAGCATTTGATGTTTAAAGGGTATTCACAAAAACAACAATTAGGGGTTCTGTAAGTTTGCCGGTGGAAATTTAATCAAATCTGCTGTGAATATACAATGCCATACTTACTTGCAGGTAAAATATCTGAGTAAAATGGAATACTGTAGGTTAGTTGATTATTGTTGAGGGTAGCTTTAACACTCATTACAACTACGTAGTACTTAAACACATGTGTTCCAAAGTAGGAAAGCAATGCTAACTTTAATAATCATAAATTTGGTTAGGTGTGTGTTTATCATAATGCCATAATGACTAAAATCCGTGATTGAGGCACTATCATGATCAACTCCTGCTATTACGGCAAAAATTTGGACACCTCCCCCGATCACGAAGACATTATCATTGTTTCCTGTGGTTACACTAAAATCTAGAACAACCTTTGCATTGCAAAGACATCTTCATTGTCTTTGCAATCGCAACTAAATGATTTGTAAAATTTAATTTACCTGTAGAGGTTTTTTGGCAGCAAATTAAATTTACTGGTCAATCAAGTGATATTGACTTTTCCCATTAACTCCCGGTCTCAGTTTTTTTGGCTAATAACCAGTAAAACTGACAACCGACTTGATTCATCCTTACCATAGACAAAGTTTCCTTTTTGCAGTCGGGCCAGGGCCGATTTACCGAATAGGCATGGTAGGCACGTGCCTAGGGCGCAAGGCAATTGTCATTTTTGGGGGGCGCCAAAAAATTGGAAAATAACAAAAATTGTAGCTGTATTTGCACGCGATCGCGGTAAACTGATAATCCCTCGCGGCCGTGTAGACATCTTAACAGTCTCCCGCAATTGTGGCAAGATGTTAATTTTTCCTGTGGTTGTGTATACGTCATCATCGTCCGTCTCCCGCGATCACGGCAAAATTCTGACTATTTTCGGCGGACGTGTGGACAGCATAATTGTCGTCTTCCTTGATCGCGGCAATATATGAACACGTCCCGCGGTCGTGAGGAGATTATCACCGTCTACTGCGAATGAAGCAAAATTCTAATCTTTTCCCGGGGTTGTGTGGACATTATCATATTCTTGCGTGATCACGATAAAATTCTGATAATCCCTCACAGCCATGAAGACATCATCGCCTCCCGCGGTCGTGAGGCATTGTGATCCCCTCCTGCCATTGCGGCAAATGGTACTCATCTCCCGCGGTCGTTTGGAGGTCTTCATCGTCTTTTGCGAATGAGGCCAAATTCTGATCTTTCCTGTGGTGGAGTGGACATTAACATCGTCTTACGCGATCTCGGTAAAACTCTGATCATCCCTCGCAGCCGTGTAGAGTAGCCATCATTATTGTAACTCCCGCGATCCTGTAGACATCGTAATCGTCTCCCGCGGTCGTGAAGACATCGTAATCGTCTCCCGCTGTCGTGAAGGCATCGTAATCAACTCCCGCGGTCGTGAAGACATCGTAATCGTCTCCCGCGGTCGTGAAGATATCGTAATCGTCTCCCGCGGTCGTGAAGACATCAAAGTGTTAATAATATCCTGCAGTCATGTGGAGATCATTATCGTCAAATTTCTGACTGTTTCCCGTGGTTGTGTGGACATTATCTTCGTCTTCTGTGATCGCGGCAATATTCTGATCATCCATCGCAGCTCTATATATCTTATTATCGTTTTGCGCGATTGCGGTAAAATCATGATCATATCCCGCGGTCGTTTAGACATTATCATCGTGTCATGCGATCGCGGCAATATTCTGACCATCCTTCACGGCTCTGTAGATCTCATTATCGTATTGCGTGATCGCGGTAAAATCATGATCATATCCCGCGGTCGTTTAGACATTATCATTGTGTCATGCGATCGTGGCAATATTCTGACCATCCTTCATGGCTCTGTAGATCTCATTATCGTATTGCGCGATCGTGGTAAAATCATGATCATATCCCGCGGTCGTGTAGACATTATCATAGTCTCTCATGCGATCGCGGCAAAGTTCTGATCATCCCTCGCGGCCATGTGGAGACATATTATCGTCTCCCGTGGTCACGGAAACGTCGCTGTTGTCATGCGCCATTGCGTTAAATTGACAATTCCAGGTAGAAATACAAAATTCACGCATAATTCCGGGTTAAAAAAAAATCACGCTTAATTCCCAGATTTCCCGGTTGGTAGTCACCCTGTTATATATATTGCAAAGGGGCGCTAGTATTTTAGTAGTGCCTAGGGCGCTGACATAGTCAAAAACGGGCCTGAGTCGGGCATTTAACTAGATGGCTTTGTACCAAGACAGATGCAGTGAAGTGTGGTTATCAGAATTCATCGTCCTACTTCTGGATATTGCTTTATATTAATAAAATTATTTTGTTACTTTACAATATCCTTGTTTGATATTGGTAAACTACATGTTTCGTGGCAACAGCCACAGATTTCTCTCTGGTTACCTCGTTTGCTCTTCTGTGGTGTGATGGAGGAGTAACTGTTGTGGTTGGTGACATCTCTAGAGGACAGACTGGACACTGACTCATTGCTGCTGCTGGTGCTGTTCACTGGATCTGAGTTGACTGAAACACAACACAACACTTGTATTTGTCATTTATAAACATTAAAACCTAATATTATTATTAACTTGGACTATTTCTAATTTGCTGAATTATACCTTATCCCTAATTCTTATAGTAAGAAAACATTACTTGATGCTCAGTTCAAATGAAAGTATGTAATCATCCTCTGACGCAAAGACATCAACAAAATTTCTTGTAACAAAATAGAAAACAAGTTCACAAGTTTTGTCTTTTGTCTGTCAGGTCAATGTTCAGATAGGTGATTGAGGAAAATAGTTGTACAGAAGAACCTCTATATTTCGACACTTTTTGGACTTAGGGGGTATCGAACTATAGAGAGTTTATTGGTCATTTATACACAAGATAAACAAGATAAAGCAAAGAAATTTAATGAATAGTAAGTATAACAGTATAACACCTTATCCACTTACGTCTCTTCTGTACATTCTTTGGCTTCTTACTGCATAAAATAGTTGTAATATTCAACTGATTTTCAATTTGGATGTTAGACAAAATTGTTAAATAATGGGATAGTTAAAAGTATGTAGTTTTTACATGGACGGTAACAATAAGAAGGCTCTAGTTTTTTACCTTGTGGGACCCGTCATCGGCCGCTGCCGACACGTCATGTCATCTTTGTCCGTGTCGAGCTCTCAAGGTTCTAGGGCCTACTTTATATTCAATTTAAAGTAACAGATTTACAACTTATCCTCTAGATTACTCAATCAAACAGCCCACAGCTACAAGACTCACCTAGGCCAGCATAGTAGTAAGGTGGCGTGGGGGAAGGTTTATGATGTGACAGATGGTCAGGGATGGCGTAGGTAGGTAGGGAGGGGCGAGGGGAGGGACGAGCACCGTAGTAGTCTCTGTCTCTGTCCCTGGCTGAGCTGACACTCGGCTGACTGGAGCTGAGACTGACGGCCAGCGTCGGCGTGTCATAGTACGACGCTTTTATTACTGCCTGAGATGAAAAACAGAAAATTTAATTAAAAATGTCAAGTATCAATTGTAAATACAGTAGCTTCATGATTGACTTTATAAGACTCAATTTACTATAAGGATACAATAGAAGCATCTTTCCACACTACTTGACATGTTTACACTTATCTGGCATTTTTATAGGACCATAAACTCATTAATAAAAGATGGCCTGATGGACATAGATTTTGACCAGTCATCATCAATCACAGAAAGAAGACCAGAGACAAAATATTCTGTATCCCTACACTTACAGTCAGGTGACTTTGAAATCTTTTGATCAACTCTAAGCTTGTCTGGGACTGTCTTGCTTCTGAGTCAGAATGGGAAGGGAGAAAAACTTGCAGCTTTGTTGGGTGCCTGCACGTTTTAGAAGTGATAACAACGCTGCTGACAGACCGGCAAATGATGCTTTTGAAGGCAACTTTGTTTGGTCCCCAACCCTTCTGTGGCATTTCAAGTAAGTACTTGTTCATCTCCTATCTACTCATAAGCCAATGAAGAACATCGTTAGAGATGGGCTGAAGAGTAAATAAGCTCACACTTTACACGCCTTCAAAACAGGTGGCCTCAGGCATCCTTAGGTTGTACAGAGGAAGAATCAGACAAAAGATAGGACTAATAACTGACCACTGACAGTTCAGAAACTGCATTGAATGGGTTTGTATGATGGTGACCCAATATTCAGGAAGAGCAGTAGGTCAGAGGAGATGGCGGATCACCTTCTTTTAGGAGAGGAAGTCATCAGGTGTCTCTACAATGAAGGTGTCTGAATATACCAACTGACTGGGTGCACATTTCGACAAACGCAATAATGCTTCAGCCCACCTCTTTTAGAAAAGGTAAGTTACCCTGGCACTACTAAACACTCAAACTCTAGACATCATTATTTTATGAACATTCCTACTGTCTGTCTACAAAAAAGATACTACCATAATACCACTTGACACATACTGTTAGTAACTTACATGACTAACAGGAGGCACAGTGGTGGTGTACTTGGCTCTCAGAGCTTGTGAGAGAGGTGGAGTGGGGGGTGAGGAGGGGTAGGCCAGAGGGGAACTCTCCCTAGAGTCTACGTCCACCAACTCTGGAGCAGTCTTGAATATCTGCAACAATAACAGTTGTGTAAGTAACAGTTGCATGGGTGACAAACACAATGGTTTGTTATAGTGGAGAGTCTCATAAATTAAAGTTTGAGTTGAGATTCCAAAGTGATTTAGTGATTTCAAATACTCCCAAATCGTAAATTATGTTCACCTGGGGTTGTAAACTACACTAGCCTTCATTCGTTTGGATTAGTTTGATTGAGACGATTTGGATGGTTTGGACTTGTCACCTGTGTAAGACTTAAGACACTGTTTTGTCCACAGCCACATAAACAAACAGCATGTGTTTATAAGTCTAGCACTGTTTGCTACTTACACTATTGTTGTATTATTTTTTATCAAAATAGTACAGTTAACTCATCCACTCAGTCCCTCATCCGGACTAATGTGGCGGACGTCTGGTCCGGATTAGGAAAAATCTGGACTATCAAGAGTCAAGCAAATACACAGTACTGTATATAGCCGTTATTTTCTATTTTTTTCCAGTTCCACAGTAATGATAGCCGGGCATATGCAATTCCACCGGTAACAATTTTTACCGCCGAATTTTGTTCCCGGTCCACAGTAATGATAGCCGGGCATATGCACTTCCACCGGTAATAATTTTTATCGCCGTGTTATCAGATTTTTTTGATTATTCGAGGTAGAGACTACCTCGAACAGAGACAGTCCCGTTTAGCTCGGATAATCAGACTTCTACTGTACTGTGCCGCTGAAAAATCACAATTGCCGATCCGGACTACCGGGAGTCCGGACAAGGCCGACCCGGATGAGCGAGAGTCTACTGCATTGTAGTTTCACTATTTTTTGCACTGATGATGAACAAGGGTCTACTATTCCTCGAGTATGTATGATTGCTTTAGTGAAGAGATCATGAAGTAAAGTGTTCAGTCCTACCTTGTTGTAGTTATCGATGAGTATCTCAACGACGACGTTGCAGAACTTGATGTCCATGATGGCAGCAACAGTTTCCTTCTCCGGCCTCAGCAGTGTCGGGCCAAAACACACAGACAGGTTGCTGACTGTCATCAAGTTCTTGTCACTGTGAGCTGTCACACTGCACACACCAACACAAACATTTAGCAAAACATACCATATTTTAAACAAAAATCTAAAAATGTTCCATCAGGGTTTGTAAGTATTTATTTACTACGTTTTTTCTTAACTGCAGGGTTTTAATATTCACAAATCACGGTTTTAGTGGGAACACTCTGGAACTTTTAGGTTAGATTGATACCAGGGTGCCTATTTTAAGGATAAATTTAATGATGAATGAAGGATGAGTGTTGACTTGATTAAATAATTGCTAAAATCGGCTGGTTCTTTAGGGTTTTTTTTTTTTTTTTTTTTGCTTAGGACGCTAGGCACGAGCCTGGAATTGTTTTACATTATTTCAGGCTAGACCTAGGGGTTACGGCATTATCACTTCGATAAAATCCATTGGTGATTTGGCGGGATTCGAACCCGGAACCCCAGGAACAGGAGTCCCGTGCTCTAAACACTAGACTAGCTCGCTCGCCGCTTCTTTCTTCTGCTTCAGTTCTTTAGGTAGAATCACCAATTACCAATGATCAAGGACAGGCTATGTTCAATTTTAGATCACCAAATTATGGACCTCTATCTCAAAAAACAAATAGATTCTATGTATTTTTTACTGTTTTTTTTTTATTTGTATAGATTTAATTGTCAATGGGGGAAGGGAATGAGACCGATAATAGCATATAAAGGGTTCAGGATTCTGTCTTGAATGAGGTGGTAAACCGATTGGTCCTCTTTGTAACATAGAAGATAAGTGTGAAAGAGCAGAAAGGCATCAATGATCTACTGAAATATAAGGCGCCTCAATGCAAAATCACTTTTCCAAATAATCTTCCTTTGCACAGCTTTGTACAAAGGACAAAAGACAACAGAAAAGTGGTGTTCAAAGACAAGAGGGTCACCAAACAACATTAGGAAAAAGGAAACTACAGCCTGAAACTTAACATAAAATTACAACAATATGGAACTTACTTGACTAAGTGTTTCATGAGAATGTTTAACATGCGGAAGTTGACATTAGGCAACTTATGCAGTAGAGCGTGGACCATGTTGACTCTCTGGGCTCTTGTCTCGAACTCTGTAACACAACAACATTGCAATTCAACATTGTAATTGTAAGAACAACTCAAACAGCTATATATATACAGAGAACTGGTACCAAATTTACACATTACATTACCAACCACAAAATATTTCCATGAATAAGTTGCCTGTGGTTGATACACCGTCTTGATGGTTAGTCAAGTCATTTATCAACAGCTTATTGATCAAGGACAGCTGAGTCCTGTCCAAACCATGAAAAAGTTACTGACTTTTATCGGGATTGTGACAAACCTACTTATTACTCTGCGAAGTACTTACTGGCAGCTGATATGAAGGAGTTGTGGTATCTGAAGGTCATGAGGGGCTCTCGCAGACTAGACAGGTATTTCTTGAGAGCGCTAGTGATGGTCTTGCTCTCCCACTCGCAAGGGTCGTCCAGGTTCAGTTTGTCAGCTTTCCTACGGTCCAGTCCCATCTCTATCAGCTTATTGACCTTGCCTCTCACCCCCACCACCCTATACAGCCCTTGCTCGTCCAGCCCTGCAAAACACAACAATCATATCAGTTGTAATAAAATATGACACACTTAGGATCTGTCTTTTAAAAATATTACCAGATTTCAACTGCTTGAAATCTGCCCAAAATTACACCTCACATTTAATCTATTGTCGGGACCACGTAAGTTTGCAGTTGAGGGAGGAGCCTATTTACCATATGGTTTTGAATGAACCAATGAGAACCGTGCGGTGTTGCCAAATCTGTTAATACCAGCTGATTTTAATATATTGCTTAGTATAATTTAATTAGTGTTGTCAACGGGCGATGTGGCAATGTCGCATTAGCCTTGTCTTGTGATTGGCTGCCACCAACTGCAAACTTACGTGGTCCCGACAATAGATAGAGTTTTAGTGGTTTTCTCAAACAAATGAAGCTTTTACCTCAGCTGAAACCAGTACGCAGTGATTGCAGTTTTTGCAGCAGCACCAGTACGAATATAGTTAACTGCTGCTTCATCGAAATAATAGGGGCCAAGTGCCAGATAAACTACGGTTAGTACTCAAAGGTATCCCCACTAAACTAAATGGCGTAGATCACAAGTGTGGACACATAGCCAACTTGTGCCACATTGTGCCAATCGGCAGTTCCTCATCAAAAAGAAGTTAAGCTTAGTAGAAGTGGAGTTGAATCCAGTAATAAACCCCAGCACTAAGACACATACCTTGCATCTATTTAAAACCAATTTTGATATTCAAATCATGTATATTAAATAAATATATAAAACTTTAATGTTAAAAAATTGCAATGTCAAAAGTGACAGGCATTCATGAAGTTTTAATACTTGCCTAAATATAATTTTTTGTCGTCCAATCTTTCTGAGTAAATTTAAAATATCTGTTGATATAATTCAAAAACAATTTATAAACCCACTATTCAATAGACGACCATCGCATCAGTGGCATGATGCCGAAGTTTGCAAGTCAGTGATAACCATGCCAATCATCTGCCATCAGCATAGTGGGGATGTCACTTAAATTACAGGGAACTGCATTATACAATAACATTTTTAACTGTTCATCCTTCGAGAGACAGTACACCCCACAGTGATAAGATTTCAGTGTTTGCAATAGATGATGATGATGATGTCCCCGGGAGTTTGGGGGATGTTCAACATTTTACTGCGATCACTAAAGATTTTTTCCCAAGACCGCGGGATTTGTCTGGAATTTCCCTGCGGAAAAAGATGATGGTGTTTCCGGGAGATGAACAAGAAGTTTGCCATAATTGCAGGAGAAGGTGATGATGTCCACATGACCATGGGAATTGGTCGCAATATTACTAATTTAGTACGATAACATAGTAACGGATAAGTGATGGCAAGTTGGGAATAAGCGAGGAGTCGGACTAGCCGAGATAGGATTAGCGAAGTTCACCTATATGAAAATGAAAATAGGTCAGGTTGCGCAAACTACTCTAAATTACAAACTGTCTTTTGCCCAGTATAGTTTCTGCAGAAACCTCGGATTAATCTCGCTTATCTACAACAGTTGCATGAGCTCACCTCTAGACTCTAGCACTTCTATACACTTCTGTACGAAGGCAAAGCCGATGTCGTCCAGTGTCCTCTCCTCAGCCTTCTGTTGTTTGACTGTCCCAGGTACACTGTAGGTCTGTAACATGTGGCCATTAGACTAGGTAGATATGAGGGTTAGTGTTAGTGCTACAAGCAACATGCCTGGTTATAGCTTTACTGTCAACTCTCTACAAGTGTGTCAATATCAAGTACACAACACAACATTACTTAGTTGATGTTAAATACGATTGGATGTTGTATCTTACAAAGATATAGAGGGTGTCTACTATTGCCTTTAAATTGAAAATTCGCGACCTTCAGCTGTAAAGATGTTTTTATCAACTGTGTAGTAAGGAAATTTCCTTAAATTTGAGGAAACATGAGTAAATCCCTAACCAAATAATGAGTGCATAAATTAATTCAATCACAGTTTATTTTTGATCATACAATACTAAATACATTTATTTGATTTTTAAAATATTTTACTTTTCTTTCTTTTGAGAGATTAAAAAGACTAAAGATACTGTTGAACCATAAAATATGCATTATGATTAAAACACAGTCTTGAAATTTAGGAAAATATTTCAAAATAAAACTAATTCTCTTGGTATTTTCATACTTGAGTGTCACATGACTTATGCAAAAAAGAAAGTTAATTTGTAAACCAACGCCTTTTTAACATGAGTAATAGCAGACTAAGTTAACTTCAACTTGGTCTTTTGTTTTTTTGTAAATATAATTAGTGCATACTACTAGATAACAGTTTCATTAAGGTTACAAAAGAGTTTATTATTACGATGTTAGAGGAATCACGATGCCAAATACTTCATGCACTGCAAAGACTGTGGGTTAATATTTCTTTTGTTAATGTTAATGCAAATTGATTAGAGCAATCAAATGAATCAGATCAGTGAAGTTTTCTACTAATCAATCTTTAGGATGACAGAAATAGTTAATAAGAAAAGGTAACCAACTAGTATATAACAGAGTAATTAAGTAATGTTAAGTTTACACTTGCTGTTATTTCCTTTTAACTAGAGATGGGCCGATTCCTGAATTGGTCGATTCCGATACCGATTCCGATTCTACAACTTTGGTTTCGATTCTCGATTCCGCACTCGATACCGATACCTGTTAAAAATTCATTTAATAACACATATAACTTATGAACTTATGATAAAGCCTAACTTTATTTAATCTTTAAATACAATAAGATAACTGCATTGAATTTATTAAGGTTACATAGATTAGGTTAGCCAAAAAGGAAAAATAAGATAGGGCTATTTCAAGAAGACATGAATTTTAACATATTTTATTAAATTAATAATTAATTGATAATAATAATTAATTGAGCACAATCACCAATTTAGGTACCGGTAGGCCTAAAATGTTCACAGAGTTTTTTTTCATAAGAATTCATAATTCGTACATCTAGGCCTAGGCCTACAATGAATGTTCCATATTGCTTGAGTTATAAACTCAAAGTCATCTTCAATATTGTCATCATCAATATCACTTAAATTACTTAAAGAATCATATAAAAAAGTCATGGAGTTCGTCACATCACTAGAACGGAGTCGGAGATCATATCCATTTTGAACAACTCAAACTCACTATGCACGCACAGAAAACAAAACAAACAACAAAAAACCAAAACATAGGTTAAACAATTCATTTGCCATTTGCAACTCGTGACAGCTGTTTCAGTTCAGTCACAGAGAAACAACATAAAAACCCCGATAAAAATACATCGCTAAATGGCTTTCTACAATAGTCACCATGAAGCCCTGAATTAGCTGAACAGTTCGTGGGGTCTCATATCTTATAATGTCATAGCTTATAATCGTGAATTTGTTCCATAGCTTATAATCAGTTATATTTATATTAGCTAACTTCAGAGTATTTCAAATAAACTATGATGTGCCACTCTTTACAACCTTCAATGTCAGTTGAGTTTAGCATTATTAATTAACCTCACTTTTCAGAATCGGTATCGAGTACAATGAAGCAAAGTATCGAGTATCGGCGATTCTTCGATACCACTGGTATCGAAGGTATCGAGGTATCGAGAATCGGAATCGGCCCATCCCTACTTTTAACGTAAAATAAAACAAGGTATAAAAATAATTTACACCTCAAAATTTATTTCAAATTTTTTTTTTCACTGTAGAAACCAGATAGGTTTTATTTGTGAACTGAAAACAAGGGTCCATCTCCATATATTGAAAGCAATTTGGATCCAGGTACATAGTAAATAAATTTCAGGACCTAATATAAATGTTGTGACAAAATTATGACGTTGATTTGAGTTTAGCCTTAGGATTGAAAAATAAGCTAGACAGCAAAAAGGTTTATAAACATTTCTAATAAAAATTAGTTTGTGTGTGTGTGTGTGTGTTTTTTTCTTTTTTCAATGAAAAGTGATTAATTTACTGTGACATATTTCATAGAGAAAACGAAACTAGAGCATTGAATAAATTGTGATGAGATCGCAATGCTACAGATTCTACACTATTTCCAAAATGTAAGTTTAATTGCTTTGCCAACAGTTTATTCTTTTAAAGATTACTTAGTAAACAAGTTTATTTGAACTTTAAATGGTTGGATAAGATTGTTATATGGCCAAACAGTCATTTACTTTTATCAATGAAATCAGGTTTCCAAAATGAATACTAAACAAGATTTAGGGAATATCGTTAAATAAGGATAACAAATTAGGCTTTTCATCAACATGAATCTACTGCAGATGTGTAAATGAGTAGCACCATTAAAATTCTACTAACATCAACTAAAATATCAATACTGACATTTAATAGGCTGTATTCAATATATAATTATTTAAATTGTATATCAAAATCACAGAATAAATGTGCAAAAACAAACTGTACCTCTTCCAAAATTAAAACTTTCTGAGTTTTTAATATCAAATTCAGTCAACAGACTGTAGTAGTAGTTGTTATATAAAATAGTAATTGGTGAGACGGTAGCGTGATGGACTTTGAAACCAAGGTAGTGCGACTTGAAATCTACAGTTTTACTTGTGCTGTACTGACTCACCAACAGCTGTGCTTGGTACATTCCATTCACAGGCCTTTGAGGCCCATGTGATCGGGAAAATGCAAAGTCAAATAAAATGTTGGATAACAGCAAGTGTGTGAGTGAGACAGAGTTAGAAGATGTGACATACCGCATTCCCGTCAGGTGAGTCACTTACTGGTTCCTTCCCATCCATGACATCCATCCACTGCTTGCGGTCCTCCTCCGACAGAGCTTGTAGAGTGTAAACCACACCAGGCCTGCCAACACAAAAACAACACATCAACTCGGAACTGAACACAGCTTCATTTGAGATGGAATGCAATGGAACGTTATTCCAGGACTACTATCTTCGTAAGTCAGTGTTTACGCCAGTGATCCCTTTAGGTGGATGTTGTTGTACTAAGATGCTATCCACTGGGCGAGGAACAGGGACATTACGTTCTTATGCTGTAATGTTTCCGTTTTTGTTGTACTATAGCAAAGTTCTATATAAGGGAGAAGAGGGATGGTGGAGGATGGAGAGTAGAAGTTAGAGTAGGTATAGTAACAACTGTAACCACGCGACTATTGGAGCAGCTCCATTAACAGAGGAGGGATTTTGTACCACAAGGCTGCCAGTGATAAATGCCTGCAGATAAATTTCACAAATGTTTTCTGCGATCACAATATTATCAGGAGAATAAAATCAAACCGCTTTAGATCCCCCCCCCCCACCAACTGTTGGCCAGGCCCGACTCAACCCGACAATTTTGAGGACCCCCAGATCCTTACTGCTAAGTCAGTTCAAACAGTTTGTTTTCACACTGATTTTACCATCACCAGCCAAATGTGTTCTGTGTTCATACAGAAGGTACACAATAGGCCTAAAATAGCATTATTTCAAGCAAGTACCTACTATAGCAAAATTGAACTGTCTTCTTAACCTTTTTTCTTCAATCTTAAACTATATTAGGTATCCCCAAATTGTTGCCACCCAAACCACCTAAATACTTAATTAATTTATTATTCATGACATTACCAAGAAAGAACATGATTTAAAAAATAATTTTTTTGGTTATAGATGTGTTACAGAAAATGTGGCTTACCTGTCTTCAGGTGTGAGGTCGAAGCAAAACCTTTTCTCAATGGTGTCCGACATTCTCCGGACACAAGAGCCTAGAATCATCTTCTCTTGTGTATTCTGCAACAAAGTAAAACTGCATTGTTGTCTTTCTACATTTTGTTAGATACCTTACTTAACAACATAAAATGTACACCACAGAGATGTAATGAAAAATAGAATGATCAATTCTATCATGGCAATCCTATGAGTAAAGCTTATGAGCTTCTTCCACAATGATTAAATTGATTAGATAAATAACTATTGCTAAATTTGGCATTTCATTCATTATGTTGCTATCCATTTTCCTGAATGAAGGAAGTACTGTACCCTCATCGTAGCAAACCTACAGACTAAGCAAATTTATATTTGCCTGATTGGATTTCCTCGTAAATATTTCCTTAAACATGTCAAATCAAGTGTTAGTAATGGACCATAGGATAAATTTAGGAAAATTACCAAATTTGATCAAAAAAATTTATCCATAAACAAGCAAACTACAACGAATAACTTTTTATCCGTTAGAATAACATGGGAATTTTAAAATTTAAGATTTTTTGAATTTTCTGTGTAACCAAGAAGTGAACATAACTATTTAAAACACCAAATTATTTATTTATTTATTTCTAAGCTCTACTAAATGGTTAAATTAGAGATATATTAGGAAATTGCTACACAAAAGATTCCACAGTCAACTTTATACACGGAACTATCAATTACAGTGCAACTATCAGGCTTATATCAATCTTTTCTACAACTCACAAATTTTCCAGTCATCTGGTTGTAAGGATACATAATAAACTCCTTTTTGTCTCTCTGGTACATACAGTAGTGTTTGGTCCACGTGGTGGTCCCCAGTTTTTCTGCAAAATCAATTCCTTTTTAAAAACTGATCATTGATAATAAACACAAATTACACAAGAAAGTATTATAAACCACAACAGACTTGGTAAACACATGTGGGACATAATACAGGGTGTATTTAATGTTCTCCCAACGAAAAAAAGATTTATTATGCTTGTAAAGGCTATTTAGGGTAATTTGTAATGGCTAACAAGAGAAAGGAAAAAGACCTTAAATCATTAAATTAACAAACCAAAAATAAAGTTATTGGTACTAACAAACAAAACCCTACACCTAAACCTGTTGGTACAATCAAACTCTGACATAATAGTCTTCTATATGACCTAGTCTTAACTAAATCCTTATCAACTAATAGTAGTGACAAAAAGAGAGTGATAAAGGCAAGTAAAAAGTATCAGGTAATTTTAACGAGTATGACCCACAGCGGACCATATTTCTTTTGCCCGTCCACATGGGCCACAGAGGCCAACAGTGGAAAGGATCCATCAAATCAAGGGGTAAGCCGGTACAGTACAAGAGTGAACTGTACGCATAAAAAGTAGTGGCAGATACTGTCTGTGGCGCTACTGACTCACCAAACATTGCCTCAGCCAAACACCATAATTCTGTGAAATGCACTATAGTCCATTCGTTTGGCTATGATACCCAGCGGATTAGGAACCTTCTCGGAACTCAACTCACCCTCCTGTACCGCTCGCCAGGCTGGCCGTTGATAAAAAGTTGATAAAAAACCTACCTCTGTCACAGTCCCACAGATCTGTAACTTTTTTATTTTAAGTTATAATAAATTGTTCTTTATGTATTTGAGTTCTACATGAAATTCCAAAAATAATGAGTCCAAGGACGATGTGGATACTTAATATCTACGATCTGAGTTGGACAAAGCTGGGGACGATACAGAGTAATTGTACTAATTTCAGATCGTAGATTATTATTAAGTATCCACATCGTGTTTGGGCTAATTATTTTTGGAATTTCATGTAGAACTCAAATTTATAAAGAACAATTTATTTTAACTTGAAATAAAAAAGTTACAGATCTGTGGGGAGCGGTTGAGTTGAGTTCCAAGAAGGTTTCTAATCCGCTGGGTATCATAGCCAAACAGACGGCCAAACAGACTATAAGAAGGCTTATTGGATGTAATAAGGTAAAAAACCTTAGACTGATGTAAGAATATTAACTGTTTCAGATGATCAGAAGCCGAATTAGTGGGGTTTTACTAAACTGCAAAATTATTGCTCATCTAATGTCCATTTTAGATAATGGACCACATTGAATTCTTTTTAATGTAATGCCTTGATGTGTAACAACATTTAATCCCTTACATAAATGTTTTAATATGTAGCTTAAACAAATGTTGTTCAAAACTCACTTTTCTCCATGAGGAAGAGATAGCCCTCCTTGGAGTAAACTTTGTTCGGTGCTCCTTCATCAACGGTTTGTTTCTGTAAAATAAAATAAATTTAGATTCATGGGTTTGGAAACATTTCATTGTTTGAATAAATATTCACAATAGGACTATATGAGTCGGTTTAAAATATTTCCAACAGAATAGTAAACAGCAAAAGTTAAAGAATAATTTGTTCACTAATTGGGGAGCAAAATGTTCTGGAAGGTATTATATATTGTTTTTTATGATTTAATTTTTGTATGTCGAATCCCGAGCACACTGAAAGCCAATGGTCAGGATTAATTTGTATTTGTACAGAAACATTTTTTTTTACAAAAAAGTTGTAGAATGAGTTTATTCATTTTCTGGACAACATAGTTAAATGTATAACCCATTATTTCCAAATTTCTTCTAAACAAACTGCACCTTTTGAGAACTTTCAAAATAAGCCTAATTGGTTACTGTCATTGGGGATTCAATTCATGACCATTTCCTTTGGAAACTGTAGGATGATTAACAATTTTGATCTAATTTCTAGTTAACTGCACCTATATACTTCATGCCCATTTAACACTCATCGTACAGTATAGTGCTCATGAGAATTAGTTGTAACATCAAAAATAGCGAAAGGGGAAAACAACATGTTTATCGTCATGTGGGCTGGGTTAACTGTCACCATGACTCTCATGAAGACGTTAAGGAAATTTGTACCTATTACAAAATGGTATACATTTTTTAAAAGTGTATTTCAATTTAATGATTTAGGTTTTAGCTAGTGTCAAAATGGTGTGGCTCAACCCCCCACTTTAAAAACAGTAGAACTCCAATCATCCAAACCAGTTGGGGCCTTACCGCATTCGGATAGTACAAATTTGGATATTTGGATTTTTACCAACATTTGGGGTATTTTACAGAAAATAGGCTTAGTTGAGCCAAGCTGTAAAGATTTTGCCATCAAAAAATTCATTTATGCCAAGATTGCGGAGGAGGATTGTTATTTTCCGTGACTAAGATGATGTCTTCAAGACCGCAAAAGATATTCAAGATTCTTCTGTAACTTAGGAAAATAGGAATGATGTTTCAATGACCGCTGGAGACGATGATCATGTCCAAACGACCGCAGAAGATGTACAAAATTTGGCGGCGATCATGGAAAATGACCATGTTTCCGAGACCGCGGGAGATGATGATGATGATGTCTATACGACGGCAGGAGAGGTTTTGGTTGTGCCGTCATCACAGCTTCTGCTGTCTTCAATAACAATTTTTATTTCTATGATTTTAAGTTTTTAAATTCCTCTAAAGCAGATCGCAAGGTCAGCGATTCGAATGGTTTGAGTTGTACCGTACATAGCTTGTGGACACTGTGTAAAGCGCAGTGAATGTGGAATGTATCCTAGTTTCAGCAGCCATTGGGCTATAATGAGTTTCCTAGAACAAGTCCTTGTAAAATGAGTATCTTGAGTGCCAGAGATACAATGAGTTACTTACAGCTTGCCTCATTTCCAGCATTTTCTTCATGAGGCTCTCAGTCTTGTCTCGAGTTGCGTTGAAGTTCTCTCTAGTCTGTCACACAACACATGCGACTGTTAGTGTTAGTGTAAAACACAGCAAATGCACCACAATGTTAGTACAGTACTGGCCTTTTATATGAAACTTCCATTAAAAAACACACTCAAAATAGAAATAACACAATAAAGAAAAGTTGAAAAATATACAAAAAAATAAAAAAGGTTAAAAAACATGCACAAAAATTAAAAACTTGCCAATAAAACACAATAAAACACTCAAAAATAAAATAAATAATACCTAAACTGAACTACATTTATTAACAAATCAAATTTGTATACAGTATTATCATCCCCCAAGAGTATATCCTAATTTTCCTATTTATAAATTAAATTTAGAACTAAGTTTAGCCTATAATATTATATAAAACGTAAATAAATCCAACGAAAATATCTAAAATATTATCATGGAAATCACTTTTAAAAATGTCTATTACTCTTTAATACTTTTTGTTAAAATACCGACCATACAAAATAGGTATTTTACTCTTGATGGTTCTAAAAATGTACATACAAAATCAAACCTAAACTATGTAAAACTCTACTCACCCATTGTGGGAATTAAATTGAGATTAAAAAAGAAAACAAACTAAAAAACTTAACACACATTACTGAGATGATAGCTTACTTTTTGAATACGAAATTGAAGCTCTTTCATGTACGGCTTGAAGTCTTCTGCAACTTCGTGGCCCTGGTGGTAGAACGTTAGCCAGCCGAACATGAACCCAAGCAACTGTGAAGAAATAATGTCATAAAAAATACAATATATGTTTAAAAACATATTGGGGTTATTCTTGGCATGCAGATATTGTACTACAGTTGAATTCCCTTTAAAAATAGCGACATGAACACCTACCACAAAAATAGATGCTGAAGAGTGAAATGGTAAAGTGGGTAGGTATAATGAGAGACTTGAGGTGGAAATAGCTCAAGAGGAGTTGGAGGGAGTTCCACTTGAGTAATGTCATTCATTCATTCTCATTCATACACTGACTGCCTCAATTGATCATTCGCTTTCTCAGGTACTACACTGCCTGCACTGATCATTCGCTTTCTCAGGTAGTACACTGCCAGCACTGATCATTCGCTTTCTCAGGTAGTACACTGCCAGCACTGATAATTCACTTTCTCAGGTAGTACACTGCCTGCACTGATCATTCGCTTTCTCAGGTAGTACACTGCCTGCACTGATCATTCACTTTCTCAGGTACTAGACTGCCAGCACTGATCATTCACTTTCTCAGGTAGTACACTGCCTGCACTGATCATTCACTTTCTCAGGTACTAGACTGCCAGCACTGATCATTCACTTTCTCAGGTACTAGACTGCCAGCACTGATCATTCACTTTCTCAGGTACTAGACTGCCAGCACTGATCATTCACTTTCTCAGGTACTAGACTGCCTGCACTAATCATTCAGTACCGTATATGTGTTGCAAAGTGAATGAGTGAAAACTAAATGATGCAACCTTGAAAGTCAGTATTACCTTTGACTATTGGATTATGTAAGTGATTTTACATTTTTTAAAGAGTAAAAGATTAAGCCTATTTTTCAATCAAATAGAAGGTGAAAGCAAAGAGAAAATATGAATAACTGAGGGATGAAATAGTTAAAAATGTATATACAGTAGTTATTATAACTTTATTACAAGTAGAATCTGACTTATTAATGGTGAAAAGGAGCTTACTGTTTCGACAAACTCAAATTTCTTTCGCTCTTGAACTTCCTGCAGCAGAAACACATATTCCAGACTGGCCTGGCAGAAATGCCTCTGTTCCATCTCCAGGGTTGCATCTGCCTGTAATCCAGACACAAGCTTTAGTCAATGACAGAAACACATATTCCAGACTGGCCTGGCAGAAATGCCTCTATTCCATCTCCAGGGTTGCATCTGCCTGTAATCCAGACACAAGCTTTAGTCAATGACAGAAACACATATTCCAGACTGGCCTGGCAGAAATGCCTCTGTTCCATCTCCAGGGTTGCATCTGCCTGTAATCCAGACACAAGCTTTAGTCAATGACAGAAACACATATTCCAGACTGGCCTGGCAGAAATGCCTCTATTCCATCTCCAGGGTTGCATCTGCCTGTAATCCAGACACAAGCTTTAGTCAATGACAGAAACACATATTCCAGACTGGCCTGGCAGAAATGCCTCTGTTCCATCTCCAGGGTTGCATCTGCCTGTAATACAGACACAAGCTTTAGTCAATGATAGCTACTTATATTATACAATAGCCATCAACACAGTACACAGTAAGCTGCGAATGGCTGGGTCGCCCCTTACTTGGTAATGAAGATGCATGAGCATGACCCTCAGTTTTAAAGTTCCACTGCTTGATGGCTATTAGTAGGATTGCATCTGCCTGCAATACAGAAAAAGCCACATAAGGGGCCGCCCTACCTGTCCACTGTGGGCTAATGCAAGGGTTTAGAGACTTTTGTCACTGTCAGCTTAGTTCTTAACCGATTGAAAATATATTTCTGTTACTTTATTCATTTCATATTTTTGGCTTGTATCCGGTTGTAATTTTGTGGTAATAGTGAAATTTAAGTGGAAAGTGACTGGTAAATACTTCAAAATAGGCTTTTTTATAAAGCATTTTATACATTGAAATTAATTTTTAGAAGTAAATTAAAACTATAATCATAAATTTTAATCTAACGAGTAAGAAACCTTCTTCTGATAAAAAACATGTTAAAATTAAACCGAGTAACTCGAGAGGACTTAAACTTTTGCATGCACTTCTCAAGGCGCTTATCAATGGCGCAACCAAATTACTGAAGCCCAAACTGAGATTTCCAAGTCGATGTCCTGCGGACCAAATAACAAAAAAACATCCTACATGATGGCTAGGCAGAAATGCACTTCTTTATCTCCAAGTTTGTGCTTACTTGAAATTTGGATATTAGCTTTGACTTAGTCAAAAACAGGCGGATAGTCTTAATATCAATTATACCAAACTTTGCTTGCAATGAAGGCATATTAGGACACAAACTGATAAAATTACTCTCCATAATCTATATACTTGTGAATACCAGCCAGTGAAAGAATGCATTTGACCGCTGGATGATTGAAGAAGCATTTTTAAAATTTGGGTAATCCAGGTAATGCATTTGTAAGTACGAAGTGTTTATTTCATATTACTTCGGGGAGATGTCAAAAGCTTGTTTCCTAAGGTAAGAAATTTAATTTAAAATGAAAATGTACTAACTAAATCATCTAAAAAAAGTGTATTGTTAAAATCAAATATGAAACGACAAAATCTAAAAACATTTTTCAACGACGTAAAACAACATTTAAACTTACCAAAAGCATTTTGTGTCAATTGTACAAACAAACATAAGGAAAAGTTTTTTAAGGAATGACACCATACACTTGAATGTTTCAGAAAATATATTAATTACGTAAACCTTAAGTGAGAATGTAGCAATGTAGAAAATTGACTCTAGAATTATAAATTCATAAATGACGTTAAATACGTGAAAAATGGGGAAACTTTTCTACAGAGGTAATTTTCCAAAACAGGTTTCTTTTCAGGTCTCAGAAAATGCACGAGAAACTGGGTTTAAAATTGTAAGCGGGCTTCGTGGACCCAGAGAGATTTGAAAAAAGAAAATACAAAAAAAATCGACAAGTTGCACTAAATAATTTAAAATTCTAATACTGTACATCTAATTAACTTTCCAAAGCCATTGAGCATAGTCATGTTGGAACGTTATCATAGTTAGCTATGTCATTGTTTGCTGTCATACACCATGAACCAACATACTCTAGTAAAACTAACATTGAATATTGTTTCCATTATGGCGATCATAATTTCATATAAGTATAGTATTCATCGATTGGTTATGGTTAGAAAAGACAAAGATAATTAAACAAACGTAGGCCTACGTACCCACATTGCATGGCACAGTCGGAGATGAAATTGGGTCACTACATGACCTAGATAAATTATTATTAATGATGATGCAACTTTAAGTGACTGCATATGTAGTGTAATTAATTATTCATTATGAAACAAATGTGGTGTAAAGTTGTCACAACTTAATAAATGGTGTCTAAAATGTAGAACAAAACTATTGTACTGCGTCGTAGTTTTAGGGCCCAAACAATTATTATATTTAAGTTAGTATGCAATCTAAAAAGGATCAGAATAACGTATAATGAATCTTATCTAACTCGTTTTCCTTGCATTTGCGAATATATCGACGTGAAAAACAAAGCAGTAAATAAGAAAGTAAAACCAATCGATATTGGGGAACGGGAAGACGTCCTTGAACAAATGGGGTCGACACGCGCTGATAAATTATACAAGGATCGGAGTGAAAAATGAAAGGATCTCACGAAGAAAACACTCTAAAAACTCAACTAGGACGTTCCAATACGTAGAAATTACTGAAACAAACAAAACAAAAGGATCATTCTGAAATTCCATCAATGGAGCTAACGTTTGAATTAGATAACTACTACAAGTGGTTTCAAAAATCTTAAACGCTTAAGGGTGAGTAAATAGGGATGTTTAAAGTATATCTAGTTGTATTTCCTACCTGGAGGTGACATGAGCGTCATCACAAGGGTAGCAAGTTGTCCTCCATCAACGACATGATGAGGTGACTAGGGGTAGACCGCGCAGACGCACCACCCTTGGCTTCATTCAGTCACAGCATTGATCATCACCCCCACCCCTACACCCACAAGTCGTGGGTGTTAGATATTCGATTCGCGTTTACATCTTCTGCGGCTATTTTTAGCTTGCGGATTTCATCCCTCGGGATTTCCGAGCGATTCAGACGTACATGTGGATGTACCTAATCTTTTACAAAATATTTCGGGGAGAAATCACCATTCAAATTGGTTTGACGATACTCTTTTTAAAAATTTGATTCTAAAAAATTAAATAGAAATAAAATTGAACTTTATATTAGTTTGAGCCAGAATAGCATTGGCCAGTTGATGATGAATATTCTCGGACAAAAACTAATGATGCCAAAAGGGGAAAAATAAGTTTGTAATTGAAAAATAATCTAGAAACTTATTGCGAGTATGCAACAGCTCTTGAAACAAAGTGATGTAAGATAACCCTGTTCAAAACTCACACACAACTGTCTTCGGAATTAGTCCGAAAATAGCTCGGATTGGTATGAAATATAAAGCATAACACAACACTATAACAATCATCTTATTGTATTGAAATCAAATTCAGGGGTTTAAGACAGTAATTTTATAAGATGGAAGTCCAGAATTCTTTCTTTAAATGGTTATTAAAAACTTCCTGAACATTAAGTAGGCTACACATACAACGTGTACAAACACAAAACAATCCAACAGTTTATTCCAAAACGTAAATTTAAGTTTATCCATACTCAGAAATAACGATGAATGGAAACACAGTTATTTTTGGACTTTATTTACATCGACCTCGATAGGAAAGTAAACAAGTGTTGTAAACTTCTGCACTTTCTCACACAAGTAGACAAGTCTCCAGGTTTGTTTTGGTGTGTCAATGACGTCACGGATGCGCGCGCAAATCCAACTAATGACGTCACAGATACAGGTGCGCGCGCGACCGCTCAATACGTCACTGTGACGTCATAACAGCTGATTTTGACAACTCCCGTCACCGGCGCGACGTTACAGAGTTTGAGATTTCTTATCCTGAATAGGCATGGTTTTAATAATGAAGAGATTTTTTGTAGAACATTATCAATGTGTCAGCTTAAATTTTCATTGTTTAGTTAGTTGGTTATAAAACCTGCAAAGTCGGCATGTCAAGAAAATGTAATCATCTTTGCATTTAAATAATATGTATACTTATTAGACTAGCTGTACAAAGGATGATTGTTTGGGTAGAGGGTATAGAGGTACGGTATCACATGTTTCAATCAACCACCACAATAAATTGTTAGGAAAAATATTCATAGACAGGATTTAATTGCAAAGATCCGAATACGAATGTAAAATTACTTGTTGTTTGATTTAACAGAGGATTAGTCAGACTTAAATAGTGTATTTAGCATAATTGCCGGTAGTTGGTTTAAACCTGGGACTTCTGTCCTGAATAGTCTGGGTTTAAACCACGCAAATCACCATTGGTAACGCAGTGAGGGTTTGCTATTGCTTCCCTCATTGAGTTTTAGACCCACCTAAATGTATTAAATAAATATGTAGGCTAGGCGATCTTATTCTATATTGGAAAACTCCCAACACTACACCTTCTCCAATTTCATTTCAGAAATGGCGATTTGTATTTCAGATGTAAGATTTTAATTTTAGAAAGCGTCAATTGTATTTCAGAATAGTAATTTTAATTTCAGAAAATAACACTTTTATTTGAGAAATGATAGTATATATTTCATAAATAATTATTTACATTTCATTAGATATCGATTATTGTACTTAAGACAGTTTCAACTTCATTTCAGAAGATTTCTATTAATTATTGTATTTTCAAAAATAATTAGTATAAACAACTGTGTTATCAGCATTATAACAGCTTTTTATATTAATTTCTGAAATATATTTGACTAGCTTTGAAGTATATGTGACGATTTCTGAAATACACTCTCACGGATGCAGTAAAGTGGACTATTACTGGAATTCAATTTATTATTCTGAAATTCAATTGATGTTTCCTGAAATAAAAGTTACTAGTCTGGAATGCAAATGATACTTTCTGAAATAAAAATGATAATTCTGAAATACAATTGATGCTTTCAGAAACAATCTTGACACTTTCTTAAATAAAATTAGAAAAGGTGTAAAAGCCATACGATAGTTTATTCTTTTGGAACATTACAATAAGTTTGTTTTTCGAGTTTTCAAAATGTAGATTTGTTGTCACGGTGAATACAATTATTTGACAATTTATAACATAGTACAATTGAACGAACCACAATAAAAATTACCGAACCAGGAATTACACTGTAACCACAAAATAACTTTGTTGATTAAATGACGACACGTAAGGTGCTGCTATCGTTGAGGAAGCCAGGGAACTACGTCAGTCGCTGAACACAACAGTCAGGTTGAGAAGTTGACATTTCACTGAGCGGCAAAACAAACTGTAGACGCTCTTGCAATAAACCTTCTCAAAAGGTCGAGGATTTCAAAAACAATAACTGTAACTCCTTATTGCATTCGCAACTAAACTGTAGAGCTACAAAAGGAGTCCGGGTTGTAACAAAGTACCTCCGGTTGTTTCCTATTTGAACTAGCTTAGCATTGACAATTAATTGTATGTAAAAATGCATACTGTGACAGCGGCACAATATCAAATGTTTTGTTTTTTAATGAAGATTTGTGATGTGATCAATAATTATTTTTTGGTACTTTCTTTTGCTAACTTCAAATTAAACTTGAATTTTCGTTTGCACGAGGAATATATTAAACCATAGACCATAGATAACCATAGATACACCATATATAACCATAGCTTATCGTCAATACACTATTTATTGCACTTGACTTAGAGTAGCTTCTATAAGAAGTCAGACAACATTGGATAAAGGTAATGGGACAAGACGACTAGACCATCAAAAGCACCAGAAGTGAGTGATAAATGGGAAGGGGAGGAAATGTATGGAACTTATCTAGCAGTTGGTTGTCTCGAGGGGACAAAAAGTGCTAAAAGCGAAAACGAGTTCACTGTTCCACTCGCCACGGTGTTATCAATTCCCATTCTTAAAAGAAGGTTGTGTCTAGTTTTTCGGCTGAATTTCGTTAGTGTATTGATTGAAAATATATAGTCCAGTGAGATATTTTCGAATGTGCAATTTTTATATACTGTTTACCAAGTTTTAAGTACAGTGGTTTGGAATCTGAACATGGGTTTTTGACATATTATTCAATTTGTATTACCTAGGATTTTGGATTAATGAGTCCAAGGTTCTACAACCTAATTATTAATTATCTTCGAGCCTCTGGAATCTACGTAATTGCAAACTGAAATACATTTTTTTACAATAGCTTTTAGTGGAGAGGTATTTATATGCAGGTATTTGTTTACTGAAATATAGTCTTGAGTATCTTTGGTGTACCACCCCTCAATTACAATACAAGAACAGGTCGTTATTTGCAAGGATGTAGTTTTTGCACTGTGTAACACCCCCTTACTGTAGTCACCCCATTGCGCTAGACACAAGTGATAGATTGTCCCTCGAGTGTCGGTGGGTGGAGGGGGGAGGGGGATGAACACAACTCACCCCTCTGTACAAGCTCTCATTATTCCTCGCCAACTTTCATTCAACCCTTCACCAACACCAACCGAGATAGAGTCTTTGTGGTGTGTCGTACTCTCGGAGACATCCAACAAACACTGCAAGTTGTTTGGATTTAATTGTTGGTCCTTCCTCTTAATTTGCGCTCTCTTTGTGAATCATTGTTCCTACCATCGTTTTGAGGGTGGATTTAGCACCGACGGAAATGACAAAGAATCTGGGTCTTGAGTTTGTTTTAATGTATAGTGTGTATTGGCGGTTACACTACAGAAGTATAGGTGCGTTCCATGTTATGTTCAGCAGTACAGCCAAGCCAAGGCATTAGCACAAATCTAAAGAAGCTTTTAGCTATTGGTGGGATCTGAACCCACACTTCCGAAACAGAATTCCCAACCGATAAACTAGCTGCAAACTTCCCAAAAATCACCAAAGGTCATTTAATCAATTGGGTCCCCAAAAAAGTACACTTTTACCGGAACTCTCCACGTATTCGTAGTCTGGTCGCATGTCGTGTTGAAAGTTTGAACAAGTGCGTCAGTAATGAGCTACTTATTGTAGGTTATTTACCGTGAGTGAGTGAGTAGCCTCAGTAGGTTAGTCAGTCAGTCAGTTCACGCACTGTGACAGTACAGTACTGTGCAATATGTGATCAGAGTACTAGCACACTAGCCATGGACTAACGGTCGACGCCATTCCCTCTAGTTTTAAGAACACAACATTTGCATATGTCAGAACTACTTTGGGAAACTGACTCTATCGTATATCTATCTTGTCTGATACTGATGCTCCAATCTGACACAGAACTAGAGATAGTTAGGACGAGATCACAGGTCACTTCTAGCGGATCCCAACTCGAATTACAACGCAGTAGTTTTTCCTCAAATGGGATGATGCTATTGTGACGGACTTATTGGGTACACTGGAAACGATTCACGACTGCCTAGATAGCTTTACAATTACGTGATGTTATATTCTATAATCGACTCTTACTTGCATCGAGATGGCACCTCTAGAGGTTAAATGGCAGAAAGGGCTTGCTAATCCCAACTTTGCATCTTCAATTTTCTAATTTAGATCTCATTTAGTAAACTTCTTTTTACTTCAAAACTTCAACACTGTGAATGAGGTTGAGACATTTAAATATGGCAATACCGAAAACTAAAAAAAAACCTTTGGGAGGCTTTTACTATGGATAAAACATCTACAGCCTACTATTTCAAATTTTGGTACACTTTTTTTATTTCTAGCTACACAACATACAGTTACACTTTATAAATATTAAAAAAGACTATAGATATCAAAATGTAACTTTTTCTATACAATTTGGAAGTAGTTTCGTTTGGAATCGGGAACGGAGCAGCATAGAATAACAGAACAGTTAAATGTAAATGCATCCACAGGGACAGATTTGTTATATCTTCTAGTACAACGATTAAAGAAAATTTGAACAATAAATTTCGATAACATCGAAGTTAAAGTTATTTTAAGTGTAATTTAAACATTGTAAAATTCAAAACACCTGCAGCGTTAAAATTAAATCTTGGATCCTAAAACAGTTGCGGTGAAACCCCAAGAGAGACTTAGCTATGCAAATTAGATAAACAGCTCGTTTTATGAAACCCAGCCACGGAGGTTTAAAGTGTTGACAGCCATATAAACACTCACCTCCTGCAGAACTGTGTCCTGTTTCTTGGTTGACAGGTTCAGATAACGCTCCTGACTCTGACAGAACTTGGCCGTTTGCTTGTCAAACTTCTTCTTGCCTTCCTGCAAAAAAACAACACATCGTTTGTTAAAAGTTTTATGAATACATGGTAAATGTACGTCGGTCAATGTTCTTAAACAAACAATTAGTGTTTAACCATTAACGTCTACTATTAGAGAGGCAATGCTTTAAAATTTTCCCATCTTAAGAAACCAAAGACTAAGTGAGTTTCCACTTGTTATTTATACAAGTTCTAAGGTATGTATGGATAGTTTCAAAGTAACTTAAAAATAAATAAAATTCTTTCGTGTTTTAAAGGAAAGCAGCAAAATCATCTAAGCCTCTCAAATGTACAAGGTCGTGCGTGGAAACGGATGCACCAATGGATCACGAATCAGAGGAACTGTGCTAACATAATTAATTATGCCAAAAACAAAAAAAATTCGCACTCGAAAGTGTATTTCAAGTGAAATCCAATCAATCTGGGATCGGTAATTATGTGAGGGAAATAAACTAAAATACAGTTATTCATCATGGGAGTAACATCGGAGATGACAAATTATGAAAAAACGCGAGGTTATAAAGCATCTGGTATGATAAGGTAATAAATATTCTATTGGACCCTCCCTTGGTTATTTTCGTCACATCAGCTGATTGAAGAGGTGATGGATTGTGGCGTGGGATAAGAGAGGGGGAGAGGAGGAAGAGGTTTGCCGATAATTGTTAAACCCAATCAATCACAACCGTGGCTGTGATCAAAATCCACAATACAATACTGGGCGGCAACAGACCATGATACAGCAGGGTACCACGCCCCGCTCGCACACCGCACACCTTACAGCTATCATGTACATAGGTACAGAGTGTAGTGTATGTACATCCAGTGTTCAGTGGTACAGTACATCCCACGGAATATAGGTTCTGGGCGATTGCTATGAAGAGTCCGGGAGCCATTGATATACTGTGACAGTTTTGTTGATAATAAATACTTGTTCTGAATGATCAATGGCCATGATCATTATGAGATCAAATGGGAATTTAGGAGCTCCTTCCCATGAGAACGCAACATTATTTACTTTGCTGTCATGACTTTGTGTCAGGGTTTTGAAGGCATTAAATAAATCCCATCAGCTGAAATATTAACTTGGTGAGCAACAGCCTGTGCCTAGCTGGACTTTGTCCACTCCTATTCCCCACCCCCTGCCAGACAGGAAATTTGTATCCTGACATGTCAGTCACAACTATGAGCAAATCTGACCTCTTCTACAAGGCAACTCCATGCAGTGAGGATGTTTTAAAGTAATGCAGTATAGTTTAGCCATTTTGAAGAGTTTGCAATTAGAAGACCAGTGTCCAGCCTTGTGAACATCAACCATTTCCCTTGTGTCCATTCCTTTTGGATTTATTTGGCAGAGGTAAGATTAGTCAATGATCAATTTTGTAAATAATTTGAACCCAATTTTAATCCATTTATGATTTAAATACATTTTAATTTAATATTTCTGGTTCTTGATTTGGAACTAATGGCCAGACATGCAAACTGAGGATTTGGAATATTTATTTCAGAGTAAATCATTATTATTTAATAAGTGAGATATTTTGTAAATTTGTTAGTCATATAGTTTTAGCTAGTTTTAAAGAATCATAAATATGACATTTTCATGGTTAGTTAGTATGATTTGAATTTTACACTTTTGTAATATAGTGCAAAGTAAAACTTGTCTAGAGGAAAAAACATGAAAATTGCTGACCATGTGCTTTCTAATTTTAACTTGCTAATTTACATGAGAATTTAATTAATTGTAATAGTAATGCTGTTCTGTACCCCAATGTAAGTTTTAAATATTTGTTTCCTTTGTATAAATTAATTGCTTTGTGTAAATATGAGTCAGATAGGGTAAAGTATTAATGATTTTGATGATTAAATAATGACACTAAATGTAGGCTAGTAATTATTATGTTTAAAGATGATTTACATGCTTATTGAAGATTCTAAAATATTAAAATATTATTTAATGTTTGATTTACTGTAAAATTCATTTGTCAAAAGGTTGTGTAGGTTAAAGTCGATGAATTTATTTAAATGTTAGTTATTCTTTGAATTATTATTAATTAATTTCAACAAAATATTCCAAATTCTCATGAGAATTGTGTTATTATTTATGTTACTAGTTAATTTAAATGTTGTTTAGCTATGAAATATTTGTCACTGTAAACTTTAGTTGTAAATATTGAGTTGGAAGTGATTTTATGTCTCAGTAATGATTGCAAATAGGGAACACAGTTCAAGAAAGTGTAGTACACTTGGAGCAATTAAAAACAATGTTTCATTTGGTTAGGTTTTACTAATAATATCATTCTATAATTACTTCTGATGCTGGGTAAAATATGTATATACTTTCAGAGATTATTTATCCTCATGTTTAATTAACTTTATAGTGCTCTAGTAGCTACTGAACTCAAAGTAGTAAATTAGCCCATTGAATTGAAAGTGTCAAAGGTAAATAATGCTACACCGAATAATATGAAGTTATATGCGTTATTCTGAACTTTAACCAATTCATGTATAAACCTCTGAATTCTTCTGGACTTACCATTTGTGATAACGGACTTCTGAAAGATTTAAAATAATTTACTATTTTAAAGTGTGTTAATCTTCAATACTAGAGTGTGTGGGTTTTGCACAGGGAAAAAGTCTGCGGACTTGATTTTGGTTACCTATCGCCCTTTGGATGTGGACTGTGGTATCTTGGACCTGCTCTGGCATTATTCCATTTGTGGCTAGAGGACTTCGACTTCAACACAACCTGTGACATTGACAGACTCACCTGTGTCCGTGCAGTCAACCTGTGTACAACCTAACTTCGACTATACCAACGCTCTCAAACAACAGATAGGACAATTATTTTAATATTACATTAGTTAACTATTTTGGGATTTATTTTGAGATATTTGGACACTTTCAGGATCTATTTTGTTTAGATATAAGTATTTGTTTCAGGGTTATATGTATTTATTACTGTGTATTATATGTCTTTTGTGCTCAATAATTCATCTTAGTGTCGGCCGACAATTTCTAATTAATTTTGGTAGCTATAAAAATGGAAGTTAAAGGTATAAATGTTTTGCAACTGATCAGTAAATATTTTCTTGGGTAATCAAATCTTTGGTATTTATTCACATTGCCTAGTAGCCTTATCTTAGAAGTGATAGTGTTTCAAATCAAAAATATCAGTTTTGTTTGATTGAATATTTAGCTGGTAGATAAAAAGAAAAGATAATAATATCTGCTTTCATTGATAATAGTTGAAATTTGATAGAAATATTATTTGAGACTTGTATGTTTGGTCAAATTAATTTGTTTTAATAGAAGCCTCTGCCATTCCCTTTTAGTAACTTATTTTCAAAATTAATCACATTATCCTTTACCTTGGAATATTTCCTAGTTTGGTTCCTAGGAAGGTTAAAACTAGGTGGCGCCCTTTTCATGAAGAATTTTGATTTATGAAGGATAAACACTCTGTTCATTTACATCGACCCACCCCAGACTGAGCGACCTGAGGCCAGAGTGTAACAATACAATGTATGGCTAGATTTAGTGCTGATATCGAGAGCTTGTCTATTAAAATGTTGTAAAATGTTGGTTATTATTGTATTTCATAACGTGACAAACAAATGATACAGGGAAGTTATTGTCAAAAAAAACATGTTTTTTTCTCTAAATAGAAGGACTGACAACTTGAAATTGGCTCCGAACTATGGGGTCACAATAAGTCGATGAAACAAATTTTAAACAGTTGATTGAAAAATATACCAATTTACAAGGGACGGTTTACAAAAAAAGTGCATTTCTGAACAATTAAAATTTCCATATTCAATAATAATCCAGTAAAAACGAATTTTATTGATAACACTTTTCCTTGATTTTGACATGTTTCAAAACAATAAAAACTTAGAATGATGATGTACAGAATTCTATAGCAGAAATAGAATGGAAACATAGATTGGTGATGTTGATTTAATGGAGGGTATAAATTAATTAATTCTGCGAAATATTAAACGTCAAAACAATAATGAAAAACACACGATACAAACATTGTAAATACTGTACTGGATAATAGATTGATTTTATCAATATTCCACATTTTTTAGATTATTCTAAACATATGCTACATTTTTTGGTGTTGAAAATCCACCTGACAAATGGATGGTACAATGAATACAAATGCATCCACCCGCAACCCTTCAGCAGGGAGGGTGCGGCGACCTTTCTGGCAGCCAACCAACCAATATTGGCTGCGGACAAGTCACAGGGTGGGATTGGACGCATTGGAGTAAAAAAAAACCGAGGCTGATTGAATATCTGAGTCTACGTTCAAGAGCTAACGAAATGTGTCCAACAAGTAGGAGAAATTATACGAAATACTGGAGAGATTAAAACAGATTTTTGTATCTAACTTGAGTAACAAAATTTCATCGGTAATTTGTCTCCTTGTGCTAACAAAATGGTAAACTTTATTCCGAAAAAAGTATTTACAGTTACAATGAAAATGTCTACAGGCTCATTACTCCAGAGCAGTAGCTAAGAATGCTAAGATTAATCTTCTCCGTTTTCTCCACGTCGAAGCTACCATTATAAGTTGGGGACGCCAACTAGGTGCGTATTTCAACCCAAGTATGAGTGTAGAATGTTGTGAGATGATCTGTGAGTGTGATGATATTCTTATTGCAAATTTATTGGTAAATGTTTGTGTGGTTAGTGAGAGAAAGTGTAAAATGAATACAACTAACCTTCTAATGAAACAAATATCATGTAAAAAATATATCACTTGAGTTGTTGAGTTACACTTGTTAAATTAAAAAAATGAAGTTATTTGAGTGGTTTGATTGTGCTAAGTTACGCCAGAATTAAACACACTCCCTTAGATTTGCAATCCTTATGGACCAACTAAAGATGCAATGTTGCAGTATGTTCCTGACCGGTGTAACTAAGAGTACATTTTTTTTATTTTTCGTATTTCACAAAATTTTAAATTACTGTAACTAAATAAAACCAACTGCG